ATATATAAATCTGAAAAGTTAAGATTGTTAACCTTCAGAAGCTGAAAATACATTCCTTTCTAAGCAAGTGTCCACCTAAGAAATAAGAGATGGAGTATTTTAAATTTCATAAGATGCAGAAAAAATGCTCCAAAGAAACTCCGCAAGATCTTGTTTGTTTATGGTGCTGGGTTTTTTTAAGCAAATATATTTATGGAATGGAGATGGTGAAAGTTTTGCTCACAGATTTGTATTTTTGAAAAAGAAGCCAACTTTTTCTCACTGTCAATATTGTGCATTGCAGACTGTGAAAATCAAAAGATCCGATTTTCCAGAGCGATTCAATTGACATTTCCTTTCCACACTCTAGACTTCCAAAATGTTAAGAGTATTGATTAAACATCTGGTATTTTGGTAGGTTTCCCATATCTTTAAAAGAACAGCTCTCAAATGATTTGGAGACTCCAAAGGCTCAAAAGAGGAGCGTGCTGTTTCTCATTTTAGTGTAATTGAACAGATTTTGGAGGGAGAAAAACTTACTTAAAGTTTTATATATGTTGTGTTCTATAGATGTATGCATATAAATGGAATAAATACTCCAAGTGGCATCTCCTTTCATTTTGGATTGTCATCCTTGTATTAATTTCCTATGGCTAAAAAGGGAGGCTGTATCTCTCATCTATTTGAGGAAACAGCAATAATTAAAAATATGCCCATAATCTGCTGGTTTAAGAGATTAGTTTATGGCTGAGCAACCATTCGTAAGTCTCTAAGCATGGCCAATAGTAGACACCTAAAAAATATTTTAGGTGAAGGATCACTGTGGAGTCATTCTTTTGCTGTTACAGCATCCCAGCTGCAGCAAGCAGATATCCTGCCCCACAATCCCTGCCTGGTTTATCAGTGGAATTATCCTCCATGAACTTGTCCAATCTTTTTTTATCTGTGTGACCTCCATAGCATCCCATTGCAATGAGGTTTGCAGCGTGGTAATGTGCTCCATGGAAATGTACCCTGACTTACTTTAAATCTCCCATTTGGGTATTTTCTGAGCTGTTCCTTTATTCCTGTATTTTTTCAAAGAGAAGTCAACTGTTTCTTCTTCACTTTCTCCTCTTAATTCCTGTTTCTATAAACTTTTCTCATGCCTCTTTCAAACTGAGAAATTATTTTTACCCTTATATAGTATGGAAACTGTTTTAATCTGTCCTGTAGACAACCTTGGTGACCCCCTGATTCTACATAACCTTCAATTTTCTATGCATCTATATCTATTTTTAGTTTGTTCTTTTGAATAAGAATTTGGGATAAAAGTGAGAAAATGAGTGGAGCAAAAAAGGAAAGACTCTCCCAGCTTCCATTTTCCTACTTTTCACTCTCTCATGGGACTTTTTTTTAATTTTTGGAAGGTAATATATTTACTTAACCTAAACATATCCAAAATTTCTGGAATGTTATGCCATGAGCAGACTGAATTATATTGCTAATGCAGAGAATTGTTTTTTCAAGTTAAAACAATGCTGTGTTTCAAATTGGCTTCAATGGGACAAGATCTCACTCTCAGAAATAAATAAATGGGAAATATATAAAACATTTCAGTTTCCAGCATTGCAAATGGGTTGAGTAAAATTTGGGCAACGTTTAAGTTGCTGTTGTGCTACTGCTGCTTTCTTGTCATCACTCAGATTTATCTGTTTTATTTCTTGGTTTGGACATGTTTGAATGATGCAATCTAAGCATAGAACTTCAGAGAAGGAAAAATTGAATTTTTTTATTGATTTTATTTTGAAAGGAGAAGAGCTCTTGTCAGAATGTAAAACTTCAGGGTTTAGATTATACTCTAATAAATTCTAAGCTTCTGACCAGAGTCTTGTGTTCTCAGGGAAGTAAGATTCCCCTCTGTAAAAATTCCCTCTCCCCTTGGATGTTTAGCATTCACTTAGCATTCTTTCCCAACTGTTACATGTGTGACTTTATTTATGGATGAAAGCCACCACTGCAATGTTCTTCAGCTGCTCTTAAAGTCTGAGGGCTGAATGAATTTCAAAAACGATACATCTCACGTGCCTGAGTGCCAAGTCACAATTTCTGACTCGAGATCCATTTTTCAACAAAGCTCTTCCCACTCAGCTCTCTGGTTTCTGTCTCAGCACACAGGTCAGGAGTCAGGAAAGGGACAGGTCAGGTCCAAATACAAACTTCCCCTTTTTTATCAGCTAATGTAGCTCAGTACCCAGCAGTGGAAACAGCTTCCAAGATGGGCAAGGAAGGCATGGAATTCTCACTGACACTTTTTATTCAATAGGATTTTTCTTTTTTTACTGTCTTTCTAGGTCGACACCATGACGTGTGAGACAGGGAGCTGGCAGAAGCTAGAAGGGATTTGTTTAACAGCAAGGTAATTGTTATATTCTTAATGATCCTAGTATTGCTTATGGGATCAGTTGTATGAATAAAAGCTAGCTTAAAATGTTTCCTCTGATAATTTTTCATCCAAAATTATATTTTTATTGAAACAAAATTTGCTAAAAGAAAAATATCTCAGTCCAGCCAATAATGAAAGGTCCAAGTAAGTAATTTTTGGTTTCTTTTTCCCTGTGAAAATACATTGTTGTGATTCTGCACCTCATTTCACATCATTGTTCATGTATATTTTAGACCTATATTCACATAATTATACCATTCTGTCCATTGCCATTATTTAATAATTGAACTGTAGTTGCTATTGCAGGGCCAACATCATCACATGGATAAAGGTGTCTTGCTGAAAAATGGATGATCCAAAGCAAAAATAGTATTTCCAGAAACTCAGGAGTAGACACTTTTAAACTCCTGACTTTTAAACTCTGTTTGTGTTGCTGATTTGTTACATTTGACACCTCTGGTGAGGGGAAGAGAATCAGAGATTTTATTAGCAGGAGCAAACAGGTACCTTATATTCCAATGTTGCTACACATATTTCTGGAATGCTGCATACAGCTCACTGCAAAGCTCAAGGATAATCTGCAGCCAAAACCAGCATGAAACCAAAGTTTGAAACATTTTGAAGAAAACATTGGTAAAATGTAGGTAATTTATGCAGGGTAAAATGAGCATGTAATTTAAAGGAGGATAAATTCTTTCTGACAGAGCTGAGCAGAGACAAAAGTGCTGAAATTGCTCAGGTTGAACAGTTGAACAGTCATTTTGCACTTTTCCAGGCTGATTTCAAAGCTCATTAGTTTCTTTTTCCCCTATTGTCTCCAAAGAGATTTGGGTGGAGTTCTTCCCAAAAAGGAGCTGAAAATAAGAGTTCTGGGATAGCAAAGAACTTCAGGTGGAATTTTGATTTTTTTGCTTGCTCAATTCCAACTAATTTTTCTCTTCTAGATCCTGCATTCAGAAAAGGTAATACAAAACTACCATGACTCAGCTTAATAGGGAAAGTGAGAGTGGTTAAGGCAGTTAAGAGAAATGTGGAGTATTATTACTACCAGTGGACTGTTCTCTTGTTCTTTCAATTTCACTCCAAGAACTAAATGGATCCTTCAAAATCTGGCTAACTACCAAGGACACAATCAAACATCTGTGCACCAGATGCACAGAGCATTATATCCAGCTGTGTTACTGCAGCTACATCTGCAGAACACAGCATTTGTCAACTTCCATGGCCAGCAGGCTTTGGAAATCCTATCTATAGGAATTAAAGCTTGCAGTAGAAGTAAAAGTGTGGGTTTTGGTTTTGACATTTTTATGTCTTCTTTTACCTGTCTGCATTTCTCCACTGAGTTGCTTGTAGGGTTGAAATATTGGAGGGAAATAGTAGGTGAGTTTTCAGCCCTGGAGACCTGGTTTCAGGTTATGGTAAAGAAAAGAAAATGAGTTTCATCTCATCCAGTATTTTCATTTGAAATTTTTACTTTTCTCTTAGGAATTGTCATAATCAAAGTGTTCAGAAAAATAGCATTTTCTTTATATGGAGTTGGTGAAATCCTGTGTTGCAGCTGAGGAAAATTGAGGAGAGAATTTCTCCTAGAGGCCACTAGAGCAAACTTCCAGAAGAATTTTAGAATTTCTGTTTAACTTGCTGAGGTAGTGAGTTTTTATCAGGAGAATACTGTAGGTTTCCCCTGCCAAATACTCAGAAGCATATGGAGGTTCTCTTGCTATGTAAATTAGCAAAGTTCTGCCCTTCACTGTAATATTTATTTGACATATTACCCTCTCCTTTTCTATTCCCCTCAAGGATCTGTTGCAATCACCATAATAACATGGGAAAAATATTATATTTGTATACCTTCATTGCTCTTTACTAACCTTGTAACTCTGCCTTGATAGGGTTATCCATTAGCAAGTTAGTAAAAGGAAATGAAAATGTTTTTCTTTTGCACAAAAAGGAGAAAAAGCAGCATTTGGTGGATGCAGATTGGTAACAGTGGCCAGTCTATTGAATTGGCAATATTCCTTGAGGTTTTCAGGCAAGTGGTTTTAAATGATAAATATAATTTCTCACAAACAAAGTGTTAATTTCGCACTACTGAATGCATAAAACATTTTTCATTTTTTAGATATGTTTGCATATCTAAACTTGGCGTAATTTTATTTTAAAATGTCTCATATTTTTAGAAGTTATTCCTTTGCCTTTTCAATTTTACCTTGCTGAGTCATTCTATTCAAAGTTCATCTTCAGTAAATATTCATACTTGGTCAGTTGTATTCAAACTTGTGATTTTATTGAAATGATACATTGTCAGATATTGACCACATGCAAATATATATTGAATTTGTATATTGAAATTAAAAATAAAATAGGGAAATTATTTTATACATATTGAGAAAATGTTTAATCAGAACCACCTAAAATGGTGTTTTGGAAAAAAGATCAGATATTTGCAAGGAAAAGTTAATAACCCAGAATGTGTCATTTTATTAATGTTTTCTAGAACCAGACCCCTTATGCAGCTTCAAATGCTAATTATTGACCACATCTTACATAAAATTCCCTTTAGCTTTGATTCAGTGTTCTCTCTGTTTATTTTTGAAACCTTCTTCCTCTCTGTGTCCTGTTCTTCCAGTAGTAATGGCTGGGTTTTGGACACATCTTGTCCTGCATATTTGCCTCTTCTGACGCTGTCAAGAGCAGAACAGTGTTGTGGTAGCAGGAGACATAAACAAGATGAAGAACATTAATTCTCCCTGACTTAAATCATAGGCAGTGTTATCTAGGCTCTGAACTTAGTTTGTATCCAGATAATAATGGGAAGCAGGATGAAACATTTTTGTTTCCATTCCAGGCCTTTTAATAGCAAATATTTCTCCTTGGAAGAAATGTTTTCCTAACTGGACATTTTTTCTCCAAAAATGGAAGTTCCACTCTACTGGTAAGTAACTCATATGAAAGCTACTGGCTGTTTTTCTGCTGTTTGTAACTGGAACCAGAATAAAGGTTACAAATTGTGATTCACAGCATGGGTCTGCTGATGTGGTTAAAATGACTCATAAATTAAGACGACGGCAAAATCAACTGCATTAATGAGATCTAGAATAAAATTAAGTAGTTGTGTGATGTTCTTGATTAAATGGCATGAAGTTGTTAAGGTAACTGAATTTAAGGAGAAGGGGAACTGATACTGTTTGTCATAGATATTTCCAGTTGTTTTACTGTAGTGAATGTTTAATTTTTGTACTTTGTTTTCTATGATGTTAAAAAGAACACACAAAAAATGCTTCACTGATTAAAACATACTCCACATCTTATGCAAAACACATCTGAGATAAAATTACTCCAGTCAGAATGTGGGAGAACAGAATTTTATTTCAAGATTACAGTGTTCTCACTAACATTCTCAACTACCTATACAGTTCCAGAATATTTTGTAATGCTTTAAAATATCCTCGCTTCACTTTTGAAGTCAGCTTTATCAGTCACAGTTATGTTTTGTCTAGGGTAGGGTTTTTACCTCATTTCCTCATTGCCTTTGTCTTCTTCTGCAAAGAAAAGGGTGGAATTATGTGAGTGTTTTCTTTTATTGCTGGAAAATGCTTCTCCTTTGACATGGCATGTGTCTAGGACCTGTGCATTTCCATGGTGTAAATAAAAACATATTTAAAAAGCTCTGGAATTAATGTCCTCTCTCACGTGTGAAGAGATATGAATGAAAGAATAGGTGGGGAGATTTAAGTAAAAAGAGAGAAAAAGAGTGAGGTAGAAGGTTATAAAAAGTAAATAATATCAAATACCCCTGTTCTGGGAAATGGTATCTTTCCAGAAGATATATAAACATGGATAGAATAAGAAAGAAATAATCTGACAGCTGCAATGAATGTTGAAGTTTATAAGGAGCACTAACCTTGCTAGATACAGCTGGAGAGACATGGAAAACAAAAGTAGTAAAAGGAGTGGTTTTGACGGATTGTAAAGTAGACAAAAGAAAGCCAGAACAAGTTGAATGTTCAGAGGAGGTTTCAATTTCTGTATTATTGTTCTCCCTTCTAAATTAAAAACTATTCTCATTAATACTTTGAAAGAAAATCTTGATTATTCAAAACTTCATCAAATCTAACATTTGTTTGAAATTATTTAATTTATGTCAGATGTTTAATATTTGTTCGAAATATTTGTGTACAACTTGATCATCATAAATAAAAAGTACCTTGGAAGCAAAACTGAACTCCTGAAAATAATTTTGATTATTTCATGCTGAAATGGTCAGGAGTGACAAAAATTCAGTTTTGTGATTTGCTTTGGTAGTATAGCCTTGCCTGGTGATGCTGTCACTGTTGGTTGGTGGCATTTGTTACCATTGTAATGTCCTCAAATTGGTCACCCAGCACTCTATGGACAGGCAAAGGGGAATATAAAAGGTGTCTTAAAGTCTTTGGGTAGATTGCCTTGAGAACCTGTGATAAGAAAGCCTTCTCTTAGTATTTTTTTATTCTGATTGTGGAAGCTCAAATCTGAATCCATTTTGAAAGAAAGGCAATATTTTTATTACGATTTTTGTATTTAGTGATAAGAAGAGATGGAAAGAGGATGGGCTCTTGTATCAGTAATATCACAGAGGGCAATAAAGTATTCACTGACACATGATGTGCTAACCAGCTTCCTACAAGGAATTGTTATGAGCTCCACTGTCATCTTACACTGAGAGAGAAGGCAGGGGTTTAGAAAAGCATCATTAACTTTCCTGCAGAACAATTGTGAACAGTTTCCTGAACATTTGATTGCATTTTTATGCAGAAGCTCTGTCGGGCCACCTAGAACAGCTGTGGCTGCTTTTTTTCTCCTCCTCATTACCTACTTTGCTTTTGGACCACTGATGTTGCCAAGTTTTAAACTACCAAGTTATTTTTCATCTTTCCTTGAAAGATTTGGAAACAATGATATTCCACAAGTCAGTACCTTGTTACAACTTGGCAACTGGCCACAGTTATAAAATTTTCAAATCCAAAATACTTATACTACTAGAATCCAATTTATTTTTTTAATTTTAGAGAAAATTTAATTTTTTAGTGTATGGATGCTGCCATTTGTATAGTGAAGTCCAGGACACATTTCCTCTGAAGGAAGATTCAAAGAAATTATTTCAAGTCAAAATAGGAGATTAGAAAAAAAATCTCACCTAGAAGAGTTCCATCAAGATATGGCACAAATTATGTTGTTGTGAGTTTGGGTAAGGAGGACTTTTCAACCAAGAATTTTACTTGGATATTGCTTAAAAATATTTTTTAACTGTTGTTAGGAAGCTGACTTGTGGTACTGTAAATCCTCTTTGTTTTCTGTATCCATGAATATTCTGTGCCATGTTTTGTTCTCCTTCAGATTTGCAGCCATCTTAAATAATCTGATCTGATTCTTGGTGTCTCAGATAATTTTTATTCTTTCCCTTCATGTGTGAAGTATCTATGCCTAAGGAAGGAAGGAGTGATAAATCTGATATGCTGACTGGATTATTTTTCAGAGGAAGTAAATGTCTAGCTCATCTTAGTTCCAAACTTTGTAATAACTCTTTTTCACAAGTTGCACTCCTAAGCCATTGTCATTTACTTATTGTTTTTCTGGAATAATAGCAAAGAGGAGCTGTGCTATTTTCAGGTGTAAAGATAAGGAATTTGAAACCAAAGGTCATAGAGACTTTGTAGTGTTTGCATTATTTGACCCTTAACTTTCCATATATATTTTTTCAATGGTAATAAGTTTTATTATATTTTTGTTTTGTTTTTAAGATAAGCTTCCTGTGACCAAGCAGAGAATAAATTCATTTATCACTTGCAGAAGTAGTTATAGTCTATATCTTCCAAAATGAACCTAAATTAAAATTTAATAAAGCTATGACAACCATTTATTTTTCATTATTGCACTTTTCCAGTTCTAGAATTATTAGTCAGGCTGCTAAGTCATGGGTAATGCTTCTCTGCTTTTCCTTTCCTACTTGTAACTTGTTCACATTATCATTAATATTTCTGAGCTATTGTTAGAGATAGTTGTTCTGACAGAGATTTTTAAAAAGGGAGCAATTTTTATATTAAATAACTTCATTTGCCAACAGTCTTTGTACAGTGTTTCATATAATAAGTGTTAGAGGTCACTTGCCAGAAGTTCTTTGTGTCTAATACATCAATCTCATCCTGCTGTAAGCATGGGAGTTCTATTTTAAATCGTGGTACATGTTTCTCCTTGTCTTTGCTGCTTTTATTTTTGTCTCTGCATAGCACTGTGATCTGCTATGATTAACATCATGCCCTTGAAATCCAACATTCTCGCTATATGCATGATATTTTCCTTTAACACATTTCATAGAAGGGCAAGTTCTACTTTGTAGCAAGCATCACTTATTCAGAACTGGAAAAAATTAATTTATTCGGTCAAAGGTTCCAAGGTCTTCAATCAAGGGCAGATAATTTCCTAGCATCCAAATCCTTTTGTTGCAAAGATTTCAAGTACTGGATTGTTGTTATTTTTTGCTTCATTTTATTTATGTATTTAGCATTTTTTTGTTTCTCTCATCAATAAACAGGGAGTAAATAAAATATTAAACATCATAGTAATAAAGATTAAGCTTGACATGTTCTGTCATCCTAAAGCAATTGAAAATTGTCCCCTTGCAGTGTAGCAGAGACTAAATTGAAGCTGTCTAATGGAAGCTGGACACACTCACCAGTGTGCCCATGTTGATTGTTTCAGTGCAGCTCCTGACAGATTTAAAAAGGCAAAGTCACAATGGTGCTCATAGCAGAGCCATGACTCAATCATTCAGCCTAAGTCATTCCTCTTTCTCCTCAGTTACCTCAGCCCTTTGTTTTTTCTTCTTTTTCTAACCTAGATCAATTCCCTGATCTACCTCAGAGCAGTTCCAAAAAGAGTTTTGGCACCTCAGCTCAGAAGTTGGGATGGTTGTATAAAAAAGGTGCACAGGAACCATTTCAATTGTATTGTTCCCATCAGCTTTGCATTGTCAAACCATGTCCTCAGACGTGATGACTATATAAGAAAATAGCAAATTAATTTGACATATTGGAAATGAGAAAACTATAGGACCGATCTTTTCAGGAAATCAAGAAATATAACTTTTTTTTTTTTTTTTTAGAGATTGAGTGTAATTTTAATATAATTAAATAAATTAGGAAATATTTTTTTAAATCTTACATTGTTGTTCAAGTGCTATATGATTGGGTGTTCTAACATTGCCAACATATATTATTCTAATAGTAATTCAAAATTAAGCTTTCAATGAAGGATCAACACAGAAACATATGTGGTCTAGAAAAAAGCAATAGTTATTAAGCAAAATGACTGAGAGCTGTGGTGGAAAATACAACCAGCAAGGTAAAGGAACTGCATTCTGAGGAAATCCCAACGTTTTTCTTCTCTTTTAGCTAGGATTTTGAAGTGTTCCAGAATTGCAAAGTATTTTGGTTGAGTAATATCTGCATATTTTATTTCACTGTTATTGTTCCAATTCATGTCACTGTACTATATCAAAATATCATTAACATCCAGTTTATATCTGTTGGCCCTATAATTCAGTTAAGGCATCTTAGAAACTGTTTCTGTTACTAGATATATTTTTGTGAATCACATCTTGATATTTGTCCCCTAAGCCATGTTTTAATGTGACTGATCTGAGAGGAACCCACTTTCCCAAGCATATTTCCACAAATGAAAATCTGTCATTTTGATAGCTTTGCCAAACTTCTTTGATTCTGATGTTGAACAAAACATTAATGACCAAAATGCTGTCGTCCTCAACTCTTTGACTAACACACATTTCTAAAATTATGGTTTGAAATTGAGCTATTCTTTTTATTCTTCAAAATAAGTGATAGATATAAGCATCAGTTATTTGCAGGACTCAAAGCATCAGGTCTCATATACATAGAC